TTATTATTATTATTATTACAGTCCACAGGTTTAGGGTTTCTTATTTAAGATAATTAAAAAAATAAGATTTAGTCATGAAACTTTTTCTTAACGTATCACTTGTAAAAGAAGTTTAAAATCTGCTTGAACATTAATTTTACCTAACTTATATACGTACATTGTCCTATTTTGCCTGTACCGAAATGCTATTACTTTGATGATGTTAAAAATGTAGCTCTGAAGCAAGGATTGATAGCACCGTGTACGTCGCATGGGTAGAAATGAATAAAACAAGTTCCTCTTCATCAAAAGGGCCGCTTCTAGCGATTGCCTTTCAAATCGTGTGTCGTTGGCGTTTGTCTGTGAACGGCAAAGGATCATTTTCAGAAATTCCGGCCTCACACATTTGGAGTTCTGTATCTCAGGAGAGTTTTCCGTCGGACTCATTTGTAAAGACCTCTTCTGGGCTGCCATTAACCTCCTCTGCTGACATGACGTTCGGCTTTCTGGGAGGTTTATAACAGTATTGATTCTCCCGTGTGCTAAGTCGTAAAATTTAACGTACCGTCGTTTCCCCTTAGGTTCGAAGGAGGAATAAGACAGCGGATAGAGGCTGTTTGCATATCAACACAGTTCTGAGAACCTGCAAAAGGGTAGAGGAGTTTGAGGCAAAACGGCACGATAATAAATAAATCATTAATTCACAAACACTCCGGCACGCCAAGTGCAGGTCCTGATTTAAAAATCCACATCCGTTAACTTCAGGATTTCTGAAGGTGGCGTGCAATTAATACATCAGCTATTTAGGCCTTGGACATAGAGCTTCGTTCATTGCAATAGCTTGCTTAATACTAAAACGTGAATGCTTTAACTTTGTTCCACTACATCCATCTGCGTGGGACTTCTGCGTCCTAGAGTTCTATCAGCTCGGGCTTCTCTGCAGAAAAAAAGGAGTTACTAAGTACCTCTGATCGCTCCAGTTAATACCGGCCAGCGTGTTATAGGACTGTAGCACTTGAATTGCTAGAAATATTGGCAACTCTGTAACGATTGACCAACAGGAAAGAGAATAGTTTTGTTTGAAGCCGCGCTAGGGAGTAAAAAAAAATAATATTTGAAAGGTAAAGTAATTACAAATTCACAAAATCGTGCCTTGCCAAGACAACCAGAAAAAAAAGTGTGTTGCCAATCCTAAAACACCCCGGAATTAGAGGACCGTCAAAATAGGGCATCGCCTGAAACCCAGATCTTCAGTTCTGAAAAGCGTTAGTATTTCCTTCAAAGCAGAAGTGAAGTACCTTTCACCTAGTGTATTTATTTACATAGTCATATCTGTGTGTATATGTTGTGCATAAATGAGGAAGCCGAGGTTCATTCCACCTTCTAAACTAATAAGAAAAAAACAACGTTTCGACGGTAGAGCTTCATGATAACTCTTCTTCACACCTCTGAAGACGCTCAAGAGCTGAAAGGTTCTCTTCCTGTACTTTCCAGCGTGGAGTTACTGTAACCTGTTGCGTATCCCTTTGCAGTTTATCGCACCCCAGCGCATAACCCTCAGGAACCTATGCTGTATATATGAAAGTGCCCACCTATTCTTCATTCTACGCGATAACTATGCGCTTTCAGCTATTTACTGTATGTGTTCTACCATATATATTTCAAGTGAGAATTTACGCACAGCGCAGAATGATCTCTGCTCCTGAAGGAACCTTACAGTGGAAAGCATAAAATAAACGGCGGCTATTGTCGTTTGTATACGGCTTTGGCGAAGACTCTGGGGTTTTCTTTTTCTGAATTCTCGATCAGTTTTGCAGCCAGGGGGGTTTATTAGCGCGCGTATTGAAGGCTTGTCAATAGCTCTTCAGTGCGTGAGGGCTCGGCGAGATGGCAGCGCGACTTGCCACAGGCTGACGGAGAGGGTACTGGATAGGGGGTAATTGATGGCTTCTGCAGAGCGTCTCAGTCTCCAGCTTGTCAGTAGAGAGCTCATTACTAACACTTGTCAATAAACTCCAGGACTTAGAGACCCAGCCATTCGCAGGGTATTCAGTCCCATGCCAATAAAATACTGCTGATTGACCTAACACGCACCTACTGGAAGCGATGGTGGGATTCGGACTGTCTGATTGTGCTGTTCACTGTGGAAGCAGAAGATCAGCGCTATATCTGAGTGGAGGTAAATTGTGGCTTTAGCAAAATCACCACAGTGATCCGTGTTCTCCATGATAATGACACTGTTCAAATAGATATCAGCATCACATTACAGTAGAGTGCTTTTGAAATGCTACCGTGTCATTTTTTAGGAGATGCTGGTTGATACAACTGCTTCTTGCAATATTGAACACGGCACATTGTACACAGGCACTGTTTGCAAGGTTTTACAGCTGACTACAGCTAGTTTGAGCAGGATGTCTGGTTGAAGTATTAGCATAATTGAATATATCTTTTCTACTGTTTTCCCTTGAATAAAATGAAGAGGTTTAGATACAGAATTCTAAATAAACACAGAAGTTGTTTAGTTCAGTTTACTCTTGCACAATTATATGTTTATATGGTGTGGTTCTTTTGTTTTTGACAGTTCTTCTCAGACAGGCTTCTTCAGTTTTGAATGTGGCTTGTTAAATAGGCTGAAATGGAGACGATGTGTCATATTCATGCACCTCCTGCATGCACAGTTTGAATGACTTAAATCATTAGTTTATCGGTTTATACAGTAATTAGGTGGTGTCATGTCCTATCAATGGTCTATTTAATTCACCTGTACTGTACTTTGCAAGGGATTATACAGTATTTGACAATATCACTCATTATCATTAGCTGGCAGTCGATAATGTGAAGAGCAGGGACAGTGTTCTCTTGGTGAATTGTGCAGGGCAGTCTTTCTTCAGACTTTCCAGTCCAACCTGTGTTATAAGACAGCTGCACTTACAGTAACTCTTGCTGGATCAGAAAACGTCTTGACTGTTGGTACGCTCCGGACATGACCCATTCAGACAGAAGAGCACGTTCAGTTCTCCACCTGGGATTTGAGCCCAAAGCCCATACAACTGTTAATCCACGCTTAGAGAAGAATTTGGATTGGAGAGGTGGAGGGAAGACGCTGTGTTCCTAGGTTATGATTTCTATGTTTTTTCATTGCTTTCCCGCCAGTAGGAGGAAAAGTAAGACAAAACCGTCCTGTTCATGAGCACAGGGAGTTGCGCTCATAATTGCATGTGCCACATGAAACTGTTTATTTTAATCACTTATCGCAGTTTGGGTGCCTTTTTGGCACAAAAATCCCAGCTACATTTACCACATCAGGCAGCCACCAAGACAACACAGCACAATCACGAAAAGCAGTTAATTACTGAAAAGGGCACCTTTGTGGTGAGCACAGCATCTCTGGGACCTGTGTGTATGTGTGTCTGTTGCAATTAGCTCATTTGTGTACAGCAGGGATATTTTAAATCTTGCAGATTATGCAAAAACGAAGTGCTTTTATGTCTCAGCTGTACGGGGGATTTAAATCTCTGATATTAAGCTGTAGGTGGTGTGGGGGGGACTTTTGAGTAACTCTTGGTACAAAAACGCTCATTTGGTTCAGAATACGTCACAGACAGCAATCACAGAGCACGTTAATGTTGCAGTGATTAGGATCAGCAATTATGCTGAGTGATATGGCTTCCTTTCATTTGTAACCCCTCTTACGTTCTCATGTACGGAAGGAGGCAGCCTGGGTGAACTTATCTAGGAGGGGTCCCCAAGACAGTGGGGTGGCCCGTTATCGTCCAGCTAATCCATCATTGTGCTTCATCCAAATGAAGGATTTGCAGGGCTGCAGTGCAGATGTGTCCCTCCTCCGATTAAAAAGCTTGCCTGTGCTCACAGAAGCTCCTCCGGTTGCCAAAACCTTTAACAAAGCAGTTTCTCTTCCGGCATATATTTGTGTGGGCAATGGCATTAAGGAGTAACCATGCAATTTAGGAGAAGGTAGCAGATTAATGGGAGGGCCTTAGGGCATTAATAAAAAAAAATAAATTGCACTTTGTTCCAACTTGCAACTTTGTGGTTGGTAACGGGTTTAATTGTTTTGGTCGTATCCAATTGCCAATTATTTTACAGAGCTGGGCAGCAGGAAAGGTAGTAGTGTGTGGTTGATGGCAGTCAGGAGTGGGTGTTCCTGTAAGTGTAATTGTTAGACCAAGTGAGAAAGTTAGAAAGGTAATTAATGAGAGGGGGCCATTCGGCTTATCTAGCGCTGCATTCCATTCCTGTTCCATACTCCCACAACCCTTCGCGTAAAGAAGTGTCTCCTGTTGTTGGTTTTAAAGGCGTTCTCACCTTGTTTCCATAGTTCCCTCAAACTCTTTTTTTTGTCAAGACTAATAACAACATAAGTAAGATGTGAGGACGGGTGACAAAGACCCAGTTTAGGATGTGATGTGCATAGATGTTTCAG